AAAAGAATTATTTTATTGAACTTTGTTTATATTTTTATTTTTACTTTTAAAATTTAAGCAGAGAGGAACAGAGTGAGAGAGAAAGAAAGAGAGGGAAAGTGAGAAAGCAAGCCACCAGGTCCAGCACTCAAACCATGGCTGGCTATGCAAGAGTCCAGCACCCTTAACCACCATGCCACCTGCTGGCCCCAAGATTATCTATTTTACTAGTTAGATTGAAGTATAATTTTTTTAAATTTGGGTTGAAGTATATTTTATCAGTTGCCTATGCATCTGTATACATGTGTATGTATGTACACATACACACACACACACACAGAGGCACACACACAGCCTAGTTATGGGATGAATTGCACTTTCCTTCAGGTTCATATGTTGAAATCCTAAATCCCAGTTCTTCAGAATGTGACTGTATTTGGATACAGGGCCCTTAAAGAGGTAACTGAGGTTGAACTTAAGTCATTAAGATGGACCCTAATCCAACATGACTAGTGTCCTTATTAGAAGAGATTAGCACACAGACACATACCCAGAGAAGACCACGTGAAGACAGGAGGAGAAGACAGTTATCTCCAAGCCAAAGAGAGAGGCCTCAGAAGAAATTGATCCTGCTAACACCTTGATTTCAGACTCCTTAGCCTCCAGAACTGTGAAAAATTAAATTTCTGTTCTTTAAGCCACCCATTAGTCCTTTGGTATGACAACTGTAGCTAATTCACATATTCACATTCTTTCATGTGCACGCACACACACACACACACACACACATTTAAGTCACTACAGTTAAAGAGTTCATACATGTCAAATATTTATACACTTAAAAATATGACTACAGTATAACAATTAATTATAATGCAAGGTACACAAGATCAGTAAAAATAAACTGATAACCAAAATAGAAGCCTTAACTTCTCTTTTCTCTCTCTGTCAATCTCCAGTCAAATTTAAAAACAATAATAACAAATGAAATTAAATAAATAATTCTGTTATTAAAAAAAAAAAAGGAAAAGAAAATTAGATTAGAGGACTAATGAACATTGCTAAAACAAAGCCTGCAGTTAAAATTTCTACAAATAGGGCCAGTAGGTGGCATGATGATTAAGGGCACTGGATTCCCACATGGCCGACCATGCTTCAAGCCCTGGTCCTGGTGGCTTGCTTTCTCACTTTCCTTTTCTCTCTCTCTTTGTCTCTCTCTGGTTAAATTAAAAAGTAATAATATATATCATGCTGAGTAAGTCTCTTTATAATCTAAATCATGTACAGTGATTAAATGTATAAATAATAATTTAAATAAATAAAAGAAACAAGAAATAGAAAATTAGTTATTGATGACAACATGTATGGTAATATCCTTGATTGAGCCAATATACAAAATATTCTGGATGGAAAATCTCATTTTGTATACTGTATTGATGTATAATGAATGACTGTAAATAAATAATTAAAATATAAAAAACTAATAACAAATGGAATTAAACAAATAAATCTTTAAAAATTTTCTACAAATAAAGTTTATATATATCTTATTCATCAAAGACTTCTAGTCTATCCTGTAAGTCATTTTTTTCTTAGTAAAATATGTCTACTAAAGTAACTAAAATAATCTTAGGATAAAAAAACTATGTGTATTTTGGTTATTGAACTAAAAACTGACATTCAGTGATGTTGCTCCACCATGGTACATCACATCTAATGACAGAAAGGCAACAAATAAACTCATGAAGTTCCCCTCAAGAAAGTAAGCCTTCATGGGACCAGCAATTAGCGTAATGGCTATGTCACTGGACTTCCATGTAGTTGACCGCGGTTCAAGCCCCGGCAGCTTAAACTCATGCCGGGTACGTGTGCATGCATGCCCAAGATCCTGAGAGGAGAATGGAGGAGAAGGGACTGAGGTGTGGCCATCCCCCCTGGCGAGTGATTTCTCACTTTCTCTCTCTCTCTCTCTCTCTCTCTCTCTCTCTCTCTCTCTCTGTCTTCCTGGAGAGCACACGCGCCCTATGGCAAAAACCTCTCCAAAAATAAATAAATAAGTAAATAAATAAATAAAAGAAAGTATGCCTTCAATTCCAAATATATATCACTGAAGCAAATATTATTTATTCTTATAAAAGACATTGTTTTGGTTATAGAGTATAATCATTCATTTCACAAATATTTTCTAAGTGCCTACTACATGTAAGATACCATGCTCAGCTCTGTGAAAGATTTTTAAAAAAAAGATGACTAGAATGCATGTGCCTTTTATGTACATAAAATCTTATCTCTATCACAAGTCACACATAACAAGTACTTGTATGATAAGGTATTACAGGAATCAGGAGAGGAATAAATCAATGTATTATGAGCTGATAAGAAAAGAAAGGATTCCATGGAATAGAGTGATCCTTGAGGTAAGATTTGAAAAATAGGCAGGAATTAAAGAGAAGGCATTTCAGATAGACAGTTTGACATAAATGAAGGAACAGAAATAAACAAACACAAGGAACAAGGAGCAATGCAGGGAGGGGCAGGGTATACATAGAGAAATCTTAACAATATGGCTACCAACCTAGTTCAGTGGACATTTTAAATGCACTGAACTCCAGACTAAGATATAACAACCATTGAAGTTTATAAACAGAAAGTGACATGATAAAAGTTGTGCTTTGTGAGGGATGGTTCTCATTCCCCTGAAATTCTATGTAAAATAAATTGTGTGAATATGCTTTTTTTCTAGGGAGAAGGCCCATGACTTTTGCCAGATTCTCAAAGGGTCTAGTGTTCTAATAGAAAATTTTGAAACACTATTATAAATTTTCCTTTCCTCTCCAACTAATCTTAATAAGCAATTCAAACCAGTATGTCAATTGCTTAGAGAATGTTATTTATTCAACTACCTCTGAATGAGGAATTCTCATTCTTCTCAATCTCCAATGTCACTTTGAGACTAAGATCTTTGTTTTTCAATATCTTATCATTTAAGTCCACACAACCTTCATTTTTATTCATAACTTTTACAGCAATGCTGCTATTCTTCATCACCACTCCTTAGAACCTATTTCTGCCTTCCTAGATAATTTCAAAACCTTGCTTAGTTTTTCCTCCACTCTGCTTTCCTCTCCATAACACTAACAAATGCTAAACAACATCAATCTCAATTTTTCTATTCCTATTTAGTTCTACAAATACTATGAAAAGATATAGAACAATACGAACTTGTTCCATTAAAAATTCACATGAAGTTTTGGCAAACAGGTGGTGTGGTAGTTAAGGTGCTGGATTCCCACATGGCTGGCTATGATTTGAGTCCAAGGCCTGGCATACTGAAAAATCACAACAAATAAATAAGTAAACAAATGTTTAAAAACAAGTTCATTTTAAGTTAAACTTAGCCAAGGAAAAAAAAAGATCTGTCCAAGATAATTAGAAGTGAAAATATAGCTTAGGTGATCAACTATTCTGTTCCAATTATCACTCTACTACACCATGCTACACCCTATGTATAGCAGTCATTTTACCCCCTTTAACATTAAGAAATCAAAATCCTTCAAATTATCTGTTATTTTCTTTACAGTAAGATTTATAGCCTCTCAAGACCCCTTAACAGTATCCAATATCATCCCTTCCTAGCTTATTGTCTGAAAATACAGGTAACAATAATTCAGAAATTCTTATTGAAATCAATTTAGGCTGTGCTAAGTACTCTGACACACTCTCCTTATGAAGAACTGAATAAGTTTGGTACATCTTGTTCTTCTTTAAACCAAGCTGGCTATTCTCTCATAGCTGCTATTTTTTTCTAATGATTGAAAGTTATTGTTTAATAATCTGTTCTAGTATCTCCTAATACCAGAACCAAGACTAGAATCCAACTCCTATTACCAAAGTTTTTTTCTGCTGCATTAATCCATATTTAAAGTGAGTTGTGATCAGGAATGATATAAATTTAAATTGGTTCTATATTTAGGAAGATATCAGACCAGCAGATGGTGTGGTGGTTAAAGCACTAGGATCCTACGTGGTGGACTCTGCAGTTCTAGTCCTAGTACCAGCACCTGAAAAACATGCCAGGCATGTGTGCATGCATGCCCAAATCCCAAGAGGAGAATGGAGAAGAAAGGATTTCAGTGTTGCCACCTCCACCCCCAGAAGAGTGATTTCTTCCCTTTCCTCTCCCTCTGTTTCTCTCTGTGAGTGCATGTACCTCATGTCAAAAAATCTTTTTAAAAAGGGTACCTTTTTAAATTACATTGAATGGTTATTTATTCTGCTTCATTTAAGTTAATTCAAAAAGTAGTACCAGTACAGATGGCATAATGGTTATATCACTAGACTCCCATGTAATCAACCATGGTTTGAGTCTTGGACCCAGTAGCTTAAAACTCATACCAGGCACATGTGTATGTACATGCCCAAAATCCTGAGAGTAGAACGGAAAAGGGATTGTGGCATGGCCATCCCCCCAGGGGGTATTTTCTCTCTTTCTGTCTCTCTGGTGAGCACACGTGCCCTATAGCAAAAATCTCTCTTAAAGAAAAATTAATTTAGAAAGTCTTTCTTGGTATCCCAATAAAATGACTATGCTATGGCCTGAATTCTGTCTCATTAAAATCTCTATGATGAGGGGCTAGCATGTGGCATGGTGGTTAGGGGCACTGGACTCCCACATGGCTAACTAACCGCGGTTCAAGTCCCAGCCTGGCGGCTTGCTTTCTCTCTCTGTCACTCGGTCCCTCTCTGGTCAAATCAAAATAAATAAATAAATAGATAGATAGATAAAAAGTTAAATAAAATAATTATTTTTTAAAAATCTCTATGATGAAACCTAATTACCAATGGGATGATATTAAGAGGTGAGGCCATGGGGAGGTGATTAGGTCATGACAGTAGAGCCTTCATGAACAGGATTAGTGTCCTTATAAAAGAGGTTCCAGAAAACTATCTTGCCTTTTCCACCAAGTGAGGACACAGCTAGAAAGGACTATCTATGAACCAGATACTAGACACTCTGCAAAATCTGCTGGGATCTTGATCAGTGAAAAATAAATTTATTGCTTATAAGCCACCCAGTTTATTTTGTCATAGTGGCATAAAAGACTAAGACAGACTTATTAGTCTAAGAAATTCTTATATACACATTAAATCACTCTTCCTGCAACTGAACCCTAGTAAGTTCAGGTATCACTGAACTATTATAAAGATAGCTTTCAATTTTGTTTAAATCATCATAATTCATGTACTTTAAATGTCACTAAAATCACCTCTCACCACTTTCAGTTCCATGCTAAGTAATCTACTTAAAGGGGCCAGCAGGTGGCATGGTGGTTGGGTTGGGGGAACTTCCACATGGCTGACCATGGTTCGAGTCCTGGACCTAGGAGCCTGCTTTCTCACCTTCTTTCTCTCTCTCTCTCTCATCAAATTAAAATAAATGAATAAATAAATAAAGTAAAATAAAATAATCCTAAAAAAACACATAAAAGACATCCTCTTTTATTTATCATTGTGTTAGTACATCTTGGGACTGCTTGTTAATCACTGTAGTTTCTTAAAATGCATCTTTTATTGTAAAAGTTAAATATGAACAAAAATCTCTAAGAAGTAAAGATAACTATTTCTCTAGTGTTTTTATACTCCCACTTCAGTTAATATGAAGACTAAAAGTCTTTTAACTTTTATCTGTTTGGTTTGTATTGTTCTATATCTTCTCATAGTATTTGTAGAAATAAATAGGACTAGAAAAATTGAAATTGATGTTGTTAAGTATTTGCTAGTGCTAGGGAGATGAAAGCAGAGTAGAGGAAGCAAGGTTTTGAAATTATCTAGGAAGACAAAAATAGGTTCTAAGGAGTGGTAGTGAAGGATGGCAGCACTGCTATTCTAGCAGCAGTGGGGAAGGGGAAAATTACTGCTGAAAAAAGTGAAAGCTCCCATGCTTTGTCCATGAGGTCACAGCCAAGAATGAAAACAACATATTATCCATCCAAAAGAACTAAAAAACAGAACACACAAGGTAAGCATATTAAAATAAAAGGTAGGCCAGATCTCACTGGCAATATCTCCTACAAGCCAAAAAGAAAGGATAAACAGTCTGCATGTAGGAAGGCATAGGACTTGACCTGGTCAAAAACAAATGAAGAGTTACATATCAGGCATGAAAATAGAAGGAGCTCCTTGAACCTACCACCCAGCAAAACTGATAAAAATTATAAAGGGACAATGATGTAAAGTCCCTAGAAGAGGTTCTAGATATAGCTGTTAAAGTTATAGGAGGTCACAGTTCTGGATTAAGCTCCTGCACTAGGCCCCGACATACCAGACTAAAAATCAAAATGCCATCACTTATGTCTCCATATCACCAAGTCAAAACTACAGGGTTGTCAAGAAAGTCATGAAGTATTTTTGTATAGAAAAACACAGAAAAACACATCATGACCTTCCAGAGAACCTACTAAGTTGTTAGAGTTTCTGAGAAATCAGGGGAGAGGTAACAGCTTAGTTTCCCAAATAGGCCAGTTGAATCGACACAAGAAAATTCTGTTTTAATCCTTTCACAGAGGAAGTAACCTGATGTTAACAGTTATTTTCCTATTGTTTTATCTCCCTGTCCCAATCTTACAAGAAAAGTTACTTTGAAATAACTAATCCACTTCATGTTCTTTGACTTTTTAACTTTCCTTAGCCTTTCTCTGAGTATAAAACCAAACTCTTCTGCTCAGCTACTTAGAACACTTATTCTATAAGCACCAGCAAGCGGACCTCAAAATGGTTACATTGTTGGACTCCCACGTAGTCCACCATGGTTTAAGTCCCAGACCTAGAAATTTAAAATTTACATTGGGCAAAGACCCCTTCATGACTACTGAGAACTAGTGATTTCAGGAGATTAGGAGAAATGAAGATTTTCCACTGATAATTCAGCCTCCAGCCCTCAAACTCATGTGGTAGGAAGAAGACATTGCAGCCTCTTGTCTCTGTATCTATAGTCTTTGTCTCTCTCTACCTCTGTCTCTGTCTTCTCACTTTTTTGGTAATTTTTCCTTTTTAAAATTTTTTAAAGTTAAGCAGTTTCTGGGCTCTCAGCCCCTCCTTTCCCTTTCTCTTGTTAATAATCCCCTCTTCCCCTCCCAACCCAGGAAAGGCAAGGGCACAGGCCACAGAAGGCCCCTTCATGGCTACTGAGAACTAGTGATTTCGTGCGACATGCTTGTGCAACGTGCGGTTTTCTAATTATTGCTTTAAAAAAATTCTTTTTTTTTTTAGTTTTTTTCTTGTCTTTTTTTCTGTTTCTTGGTTGTTGTTGTTACTGTTGCTTCTCTCTCTGTGTTTCCTTTTCTGCACACTACTGGAGGCTCTGATTGAACTTCAAGTTTGGGAAGAAACACACTTTTCCATCAGATGACTAGAAATCACTGCATGACCACAAGAAATATGAGAAAGCAAGAAAATACCTCTCCTCCAAGGGAAAAGAATGGCTCTTCTTCATCCACAGAGAGTTCAATGGAAATCATGGATATGTCTGATAAAGAATTCAGAACATTCATAATGGCAAAGCTAATAGAGATGGAAGAGAAGAGAGACTATGAACTGCATAAGAGAATGGAGAAAGGAGCTGACGAGTGCCAGGAGGTGAGGAAATTCTTGCAAGATCCGAAAGAGGAATTACACACTTTACAAAAGAATCAGATGGAATTGCTAGAGATACAGGAAGTCAAAATCTCTCTAGAAAGTATTAAAAGCAGACTAGATCATACAGAAAATAGAA